ACAATCTTAGTGGGACAGACCGATAAGGTAAAATGAGACAATCATAGCGGAACGAAGGTACTAGATGACAATTGCTTCAACTTTTTGTAAACCAGTACATATATCACATACTAATGTCGACTGATGCTAAGATAAAAAACACATAGATGTAACGAATCATAAATGAGCACATGAAAATTAGAAGGACAAAAATATAAGTCTTTATTTATGTGTGTAAAGTTTCATACACAATAATGGTTTTAAAGTAAAGCATGAACTCAATATAGGAGATAGCTAACCAAAGAGCTAAGGTTTATTGAAGCCCCTAACCATACGGGTACTTTACCTACTCCACTAATGACCTTTTAGGTTGAAATCGCAAGTCTTGATGGGGAGGATACAATTCTAGTACCTCCGTCCTGGTGGACTTTGCCAAGTGTAAAGTAGGTGAGAAATAAGAATACTAAAAACTGTGTGATTGAGATTTGTGTAGAGGAGAAAGAAATGTGCAGGACTACAAATTAATTGCTTTAATAGGAAAAAGACAATGTTTTTTGGGACAACCAAAAAAAAAAGTTGGCAAAGTCCAATGGAACGGAAGGAGTATTATATAATCATTTTGGAAATGGGTGGATAAAGAACGAGACCGTTTGCTCAGATTACAGATTTCAATTTTCAAACCGAAATCAAATTTACTCTTTCCAATTCTAGATAAGTTGGATGAGGATGTTTTCTTTTGGACTTTAATTTGCTGGTCATGTCTAGGCGTGGATTCGGGCCGGGCCGCCGGTTTGTGAATGGTGGGCCCGGGACCGTCCCGGGGTAAAGGCAGTTCCGGTTCGGGCCGGGCCACCCGCCCGGGTCACAGGTCGGGTCACCCGCCGGGCCGGGCTGGTTAAATCCATTTTTTTGTAATATACTTTATAGTTTTATACAAGTATTAAAAACAAACTTCAAGTGCATTTATTTGAAATGAAATAGGAACTACATTTGACAATTAAGAAAAAAATACAATATGAAATTACAATTGAGAATTGAATGTAAAATTAAAACATTAAATATTAATCAATCGGAATCTCCGTAATAGGTAGAGCCACCCTCGGTTGTAGATTCATCCATAAAGTGTTGGGATGGGGTGATGTCAATTTCTTGAGCTCTATGGGCCGTCTTCAACCAGTCGTGGTAGCATATAAGCATCTCAAGAGATTCTGCGCTCAACCTCATTCTACATTGCGTCAGGACATTACCGGCCGAACTAAATTCTTGTTCGACGTCAACTGTTGAAACCGGCATTGATAGCACTTGCTTAGTCATCTTTGCTAAAACCGGGAACATTCTTTCTTTTCCCTTCCACCAGTGTAGAACGTCAAAGTCATCATCTTCTTCAAAATCAACATCATATGTTAAATACAAAGAAATCTCATTAATTGCGCTTTGTTGAGTAGCAGGTGTTGTTTTAAGTTTTTTTAATAAGATTGGCAAATGTAGATTTCAAAATTAATTTTCCTTTAGATGAAGAGGTTTGTGTCGGGGGAGGGGGCGCGTTGTCATATTGTGCATGAAACTCATTAAATAATTCATAAAAATATATCACTAACCAAGTTGTATTCTTTTTTCGGATCAATTGAGTTCTCGTCATACATTGGCATTGGACCAAAAAAAGCAGCATAATAATAATTCAAACATTTTTCTTAAGAACCAAGTCTAAAACGAGGATCGAGAACAAATGCAATGTCATAAATATGCGGAATATGTGAATAATATTTAAAAAAAATTCCTTCATAAAACCAGCAAAATAACTCACATAATTGGCATTCTCAAAATTTGAAAAAGCGCCGGCGAGATTAACAGCTTCACGAATAAATTGGTTTGAGATAAGTTTATAAACATGACTAAAAGTTTCAGTTGCATTATTAAAATATACCAAAGCATTACAAATTTTTTCGCAGGTGTCGATCTCAGCCGAGTTTATAATATAGTTATCATATTGTTTCATAAAAGCAGGAAAATGTTGTTTATATCTAAGAAGAACTGCAATTAACTTATAAGTACTATTCCAACGAATAGACAAATATTTAGAAAAAACCACATATTTATCACCTCTTTCTATCAAATAATCATGCCATTTTTTCTAAGTTGACCATTACCCCTTAAATGCGTCTAATCCCCCCTTGACTACCTCCAAAGATGCTCCTAACACTTTTAGACACCCTTGCACACATAAATTAATAACATGACATGCACATCGTTGATGAAAAAATCTACTCATCAAAGAAGTAGAACCACACAATTCACGCAATCTAGGAATAGCAGCAATATTATTAGTAGCATTATCAAAACCAATAGCAAACATTTTATCAATTAAATTATACTCAATTAAAATACGCTCAATCAAAATATAAATATGTTCAGCGGTGTGATGATCATTAAATTCACCAAAATCAAAATAGCAAACAAGAACACGTTTATGCATAATCCAATCATTATCAATATAATGTACAGTTAGACCCAAATAATGCAAATTATGATAAGTATCCTCCCATATGTCAGAACATACAGTAACACGCCCATCAAAGTTTGCAAAATAATTTTGTAACCTTACCTTTTCCGCACCATAAAGCCTTGAAATTTCTTTCTTAACCGTTTTGCGACTAAAACCTCTATATTGAGGATTTAAACAAGTTTGTGCATAATCACGAAAAGCAAGACTTTCAGAAAAACAAATAAGGCAAATTTTCTTCAACAAGTAAGTGAGCCATACCTGTCAAATTTTTTGCATCATTGTATGAGAAATTACCAAAAGGTTGTTGGTTATTTGCAAATCTCGATATTTGAGTTTGCTTCCCCGTTCCGCCGCCTAATTATGCATACTCCACCGGGTGTTTAGCCTTAAGATGCCTTGTGGCGGATCCGTATCCGCCGAAAATCCCCAAGCTATAACTTTTCTTGCACCACTTGCAAGTTGTGTTCCAATTCCCGGTGTTCGGGTCCTTCCACTTATCAAAATTATTTTGCATTAATTCAGATCTACTTTTTTTCGTACATGTTTGGGATGAGGCAGGCTCGTCGGCGTCGTGGATGCCGCCACCCTCCTCCGCGTCGCCATCGTGGCTCTTCGGAATTACTTCCTCCACATCGTCGTCCTCGAGCTCTTCATCATCAATGGTCCTCGGCTGGTCTTGGAAAAACTGACTATTATGTCGGTGCAATTCTTGTTCAAGTTGTTCGTCGGTCATGGCATCCCCATCCCTCCTTGCGTAACCTGTATCAAAATCATCTCGGCTTTGAGATGAAGAGTCGATATGTGATTTACCTTTGCGGGATTTCTTCCTCGCAAGCTCGCTCGTTCGGTTGCGCTTGAGGTTACCCATATCAACCGAATATCTACCACCTTCCATCTTAAAAATGTAACAAATATTGATTTATAAAAACAATTCGAACTAAAGAAATAAAATTCTAACAATTCTAACTTTAATGAAATAAAATTTTTACAATTCTAACTAAGTAGATATAAATTGTAACATGTATGTATTTAATAGATAGAAGTAGATAATAAGTAGAGATTAAGTAGATAACAAATATAAGTAATATAATATATGTATTTATAAATAGATAATTAATATATAACTATAAGTAGATAAGAAATATAAATAATATAAATTATAATATATGTATTTCTAAGTAGATATATAATATATTGGAGAATAAGATAATTTCAGAAGATGAAGATAATTAAAGAGTAGAGAGTAGAATTTAGGAAGAGTTGGAGAAGAGATATGGAAAAATGTTTAAGATTAGGAGTATCTATAGTTTTTTTTACCCCACCCGACCCCCCGACCCCCCCCCCCCCCCAAACCGCCCGGACCCCCCCTTCCAGCCCACCTAGGAGTGGACTCGGGCCGGGCCAACCGGTCCGGAACCGGACCGGCCCGCTACTGTGCGGGCCCGGACCGGCCCGGTGAACCGGTTGGTTGACCGGTTCGGGCCACCCGTCCCGGTGGGATGGTGGTTCGGGCTCGGGCCCTTCAAAAGGTGAACCGGCCCGGCCGGTTCGGGCCCGGGCCGGACCAATTTATTATTATTATTTTTTGAATTTTTTTAAGTTTTTGGGTTGGACTGGGTATTTTAGGCCATTTGAGGTGGTTAGGGTTGGTTTGCGGGTGAGGGAGGAGGGTTGGGGGTTAACTAGGAAAAGCCAAAAAAAAATAGAACCGAGGCCCGGCCCGACCCGGCCCAGACCCGGGGGTTACCCGGGCCGGTTCCGGGTCTCCCCTTCATGAACCGAGGCTCGGCCGGGCCCGAACCGGAACCGATCCACCCCTGAGCCCACCCAACGGCTATATAGCCGTTTGGGTAGTCCCAAGTCCACCCCCAACGGCTATTTGTGGCCCAAACAAAAAAAATGATTTTTGACCGTTGGACCCGACCCGGACCCGGGCCCGACCCAGCCGGGCCGGGTCACCTTTTGTCTGAACCGAGCCCCCCCCCCCCCCCCCCCCCCGCCCCGGTTCGGATCTACACCTGGTCCTAGATCGCCAGACCGGGCCAGTCCCGGGCCCGCACAGTAGTAGGTCGGGCCAGGTCACGGACCGGATGGCCCGAACCGAATCCAAGCCTAATCATGTCTGGTCTAATCTGGTCTGTTTAAATCCGATCTGGTTTGATTTGAACTTGTTTGTTAAATGTATGATCACTATGTATTTTATAATTGTTCAAGTCAGATCTGGTTAAGCCTAATTTGATCTGATGCAATCTAGTCTAGGACTTAAAACAATCCAAAAGAAAGCATCATGAAGCACCGATTTGTAACTAGATTTACTCTATCCAATTACAATCCTGGTTCTTTTTCGTTTTATATTTTTAACCAATTATTATAATTGCTTGGAACACTATTCTAACAATATGTCTAATTATAATGTCTCACTCGAGCTTCTCAAAACTCACAATGACCGGGGAGAAACTCAGAAATGCTAGACAAAAATTGTTCTGGGATATGAACAGGTGTAGAAAACTTGGCCTTGGTCGAATTTCATTTTAACCTTTTTACAGATATATTATTGACTTTCAAAATCCAGACTCCAGGGTGAACATTTTCAAACGAGATTAAATGGGACTAGGCATGCAGGAACCAAGCATTCAAAGTTCAAACGCATCAATAAGTAGCAAAACCTCTCAACGACAGTCTGCAGAGTGCAGAGTATTTCTTAAAATGATTTGAAAAAGTTCTAAAGACTCGATAAAAGATACTCCAAAGTCCAAACCACGCCTCAAATAGTCATACCCCACAAATGATCGATCTCATTATGACTAGAAATAAAAAAGATAATTAGTCAATGATAACTAATTGTCATCCGCACCATCATCTGAATCAGCATGCCTTTTTTCATATTTCGGACTTGGACTGCGACTCTTAGCACCCAACGGGCTCTCATCATACTTCCTATAAGCGGAACCATCGCCTCTTCTCGGGCTCATAGGGCTTTGACTTCTCCCCTCATGGCTTCTATCATAGCCATCATCTTCTGGACTCGACGCATTTTGCGCCCTCTTAGAAGGGGGTGGAGGACTCTCATCTCTCCCATCACCACTTAAGGGGGAGCGGGAGTCATCACGGGTGGGTGGGTTGTGTTTCTGTGTTTTAGATGGGCGGGGACTTCTTTCATCATGCGGACTTCGGCTTCTGCTTCTGCTGCTCACAGGGCTCCTGCTGGGGGGAGATCTTCTCTCATGCCCAACTCGTTCTCTCCTTGCAACAGGGGATCTTGACCGGCTGTAACAGACACCACAGTAAGAAGCTTAATTATCATCAAAGTGTAATTACTAAAAAAAGAGAACAGGTAGATACAACTAGTTTCAAAGAATTTGGTGCACACTTTATGCACATTTGGTGGATTTATTTATCTGCACATGAGTCTTGAAAGCCAAAATCCCTACCCAATGTATTCTCTTCACCAGCAAAAATATGAACTGATATAGTGATATGATTTTGCTTGATCTGGTCTACTGTGAATTTTTACTGTCAGGTTTTATAGTCTTGACCTTGATCATTCTGGTCTCAAACTTTCAGGTCTGGTCTAGTCATCAACGGTATGTGGTCTAGTCTAATTCACTCTCAATTCTACTGAATAGATGTGAATGTATACACTTGTCTGAATTTGTATTAAAAATACTACTTCTATTGTTACTACTAGTACTAGTATAGCATCATAATAATATAATAATAATATGAAGTAATTATTATTACTGCTCCTTCCATTCCAAAATGAAACTTGAACTTGACAGGTCACAGATATTAATAAAGTGAAAAATGTTTCATCATTTTCATTTTCATTTACCCCAGTGCCGAAAAGGCTCCCACCTACGGTGGGGTAAGGGGGTCGGATGTACGCAGTCTTACCCCTGTACTAAAGCACAGAGAGACTGTTTCCGGATGACCCATATGAAAATCCCGTCCAAAATTGCATGGACCGACTGCTGCTTCATAACAAAGAAGCGCAGACAGTTTAGTGAGCCATTTTGCTTTATTCCATCATAATCTCAAGCCAAAAAATAATGAATCTTTGGCTCCATTGCAAATGATGGAAGCAAAGTGAAAAATGTGTAGTTAATAATAATAGAGATCGCCTATTGTATGCTTAAAAATGGTCATATTTTATGTTATATGTTTCACAATTTGAAAGGTAGGGTATTCATCAATATGTTATTTTCACCCCATTTGAAGTGTGTTAATTTTATTCATTGTGTTTGGAGTATAAATATGTGATAATTATGGGAAGGACAAAATAAGAAATAATAGAGCGAATATAATTTTAAGAGGGTGGGAGTATCACCATTCACTAAACATCTTATTATAAAGAACTTTATAAATGTTAGCTATTACAAACTGGCCAACACAATCCGCTAATCAAACATGCTATAGCACAAATTACCAGGAGCTAGCCCCTAAGAATATCTGCTAATTGCCAAAATGCCAAACAAGACCACCAGATGAATTCCTTCATACCACCATTGAGAACGAGTAAATCAATTATTTGAAACCAAAACAACATTCTCATTTCCTTACAGTAATGGTTAATACATGTGAGTGAATACAGATTCTATTTGGCCATATTACAAAGGAAAAATTCACATCAATAATTTAAACTATTGACGGTCTTCTCATATTACTCATATATATATATATATATATATATATATATATATATATATATATATATATATATATATATATTGATAATTATTTCCATCATTTGCAATGGAGCCAAAGATTCATTATTTTTTGGCTTGAGATTATGATGGAATAAATCAAAATGGCTCACTAAACTGTCTGCGCTTCTTTGTAATGAAGCAGCAGTCAGTCCATGCAATTTTGGACGCGATTTTCACTATGGGTCATCCGGAAACAGTCTCTTTGTGCTTTAGTATAGGGGTAAGACTGCGTACATCCGACCCCCCCTTAACCCACCGTAGGTGGGAGCCTTTGCGGCACTGGGGTAAATGAAAATGATGATATATTGATAATTCAAATATAAAAATAATAATAAGGGCCATATTTTAAAAACAAAACTGTGACTTGTATAAACCACTTCAACAAGTTGGCTTGTTCTAGTTGGTCTGCATTATGTTTTTCCTTTTCTTTTTTGCCCTTTTTCTATTCTTTTTCCCTTTGTCTTCTATGAATCGCAATCTTAGCAGCCCAAGAACGTCTCTTCTCCTCATTTTTTTCTTGCTCCATGTTCCTCTTCTTGACGTTCTTCACTTCTTCCCACTCTTCTTCTTTTGAATTTCTTCATCATTTTCTTAAATCTCAACTGTTTCTTCATCTCTAAATCGTTTCGATTTATATTAATAAATTTCTATTCAAAAAATGCTCATTCTTCCTCTTCCTTCTCGTCATCTTCTTCTATTTTCTTTCAAATTTCTTCATATTTTTTCGCTTATATGACCAATGCTCCGTCTTACTCCTCATTTTCCGAGTCTTCTTTTATTTTCTTTCAAATTTCTTCACAAATTTCACTGATATTCATTAAAATTTGACCTTACCTTCTCCCGTATATGATATTAAACCTTAAACATGGACTTTTACCCATATTGTAGTGTTGAAAATCAAATTAGGATCCCAGATTTTTGGCCCAAGGAACGACCATGGAGTCCTTCCTCACTCATCCCTCAACCCGATCTTTTTCTTTCAAAAAAAAAACAGATTAATCACTTAACTTTGTAAAACTTTTCCATCTCTTCACTGTTTAAATCATTACAAGATTTATTAATGGATTTCTGGCTAAAATATAATGTTCAAATATAATTGATTTCTGTCAACTCTGTTAGAGAGATGACAGGCTCTTGAGGAGTTGAGGAAGATAGCTTTTTCTTTTTTTAAATCTAGGGCCTGTTTACTAACAGAGATATTTTCCAGTTTTTTAGAAAACTAGAAAAAGGAAAACATAAAACGTGTTTACCAAAAAAATTGCTCGAAAACTGGAGAAAGGAAAACAGAAAAATGCATTTACCAAATCGTTTTCCAAAACCAAAAAATAAGATGTCTCTGTTTTCCTTAATGAATTGAAGAAGTGACTTTTATTAGTTTTCCAAATTTGGAAATCGCAGATGCTGCAATGCCGCTGAAATGAATTTCCATACTTAAATTTAGTAGTGGATCCGGTCCCGCTCTGATATCAGTTCTAGTCCGGTGCGGTCAACGACCCGACGTTCCCTATTGGGTTCGGTCAACGACCCAGCAGTCCATATCCGGTCCAGTCTACGGCCGAGCAATCTCGGACCAGTCCGGTCGATGACCCGACGGTCCCGGTCAAGTCAGGTTGATGACCCGGTGGTCCCTCTCTGGTCCGGTCTACGATCCGACGGTCCCTGTCCAGTCTGGTCCACGACCCGCCAGTCCCCTGTTCGGTCCGGTTGATGATATGACGGTCTCTGTCCGGTCTGATCCACGACCAGGCGATACCTGTTTGGTCCGGTCAACGATCTGGTGGTCCCCGTCCGGTCTGGTCAATGGCACAGCAGTCCCCATCATCTCCGGTCAACCACCCAGTGGTCCCTGTCCTGTCTGATCAACGACCTGACGGTCTCCATCTTGTTCGACCAATGACTTGACGGTATGTGTTCGGTCCGATCGACAACTGGGCGATCCCAGGCCAGTCCCGTCAACAACCCAGCGGTCCCTGTCCGGCTGATTCAGTCTCGATTTTTTAAATCATTTTTTAAAGTAAAGAGTTTTATAAGAGCCGTTGAGTTGTCAACCGATAGGGAAGTCAGAAAAGAATCTGTCAAACTAACCGTTGGGATAGACCGGGATTGGCCGGTTTTGGTCCCGACTTTCCTCTACGTGGGACCTGGTACCCTACTTGGGTTGTACTAGGTTCAGTTCCGGACTCGGACCGTACTTTTGGTCTTTTAGTCGGTCACAGAAAAGGGTGAAAATTTTTTATAAACATGTTTTCAAACTTAAAAATGGAAAAATAAAATATGAAAATAGAAAATTGGAGATAGAAAACTGGAAAATGAAAACATAAAATTGGAGAAAGGAAAACAGAAATAGAAAAGTGGAAAATATCTCCGTGAGTAAACATGCCCTTAGGGTTTACTTCTTAAACAAATTCATGGTCACTTAAAATTATTTTAAGAAAGATACCCCTTTTATTCACATTAATCAAGACTTATGCATATGTGGGATTAATATCAGAAGAATGCCAACAGGTGGGATTGTTGATGTAAATTTTTCCTATAATAAAAAATCATATACTTGCTCAATTTAGTACCATTGCCAATAAGCACTTCGTCTTTTCAGAGTTAAAAGCTGCGAAGACAGTCAAAGATAGATGTTGACCTGGTAGACCAGTAGATAGAAGGCAGAAGGTGTAAGTAGCAAACCTATAGCTGCGCCTTGGGCTGTAACTTCGACTATGCCTCCGGCTATAATAAGGGGACCGAGATCTATCTGGTGTCCTAGAGTAACTCCTTCCACGCCTACAATTAGATGCACATAAATAGTCAAGTGAAAAGTGATACGGTAAGCTAGCAAGATCCATCAACAGGGAATAGATTAATATCATAAAATAAGAGATTGAAATACTTGAGCTTCTGTGGACTATTTGGGCATTTCTTTTCTATGTGGCCTCTTTCTCCACACCTATAGCACTTATTTTTCCAATCACCGGCTTTGCAATCACGGGCCCAGTGTCCTTCAAGTCCACAGTTGAAGCAGCGGCCTGAGCCTGGTGGGGGTCCACGTCCCAAATAATCTCTGGAGCCACCTGACCCGCGCGGCACCTACATCAAGGCATGCAATCAAGATTTCACTGTATTTTTTCTTTTGACAGAAAGATTTCACTGTATTTTATACTGCATTCTTCTATACATGTAAAATGACAGAAAACTTGAACATGAAGTATTGCTTTCTGAATTTAAAATAGCTTATAAAGATATTATTTGAAATAATTTATGATAAATAAATAAATCTATGTTCATGGTTTTTATCCACAACGGAGCATTCATGATAAATCCAAAAAATAACTTCAGAAAGCGAAGGGGAAGGGCAAAAATTAAATGAAGCATGACGATTACATACTCCCTTAGCAAATTCCACAATTATGCGGTGTCCATCAAGTTCAGATCCATCGAGATAATGTCTTGCGTCATCAGCATCACGTGGATCGCTATAATCCTGAAGAAAGTAGAAGTTTTGCAAAGCAAACAAAATGATGTGTATAATTGTATGACATGTCAGTGCCAAAACACAAGGCTACAAAAGATGATAGCATATTTGAAGAACAAAAGGGGGGGAAATGGAAAGCAAAAAAAGTGCAAGAAGTAAGAGAGAGATAAAGAATACATACAATGAATGCATAGTCACGCTTCATGTCCACTTGCCGTACTCTGCGGAAATGGTTTCCAGAAACAATAAGGCCATCATCATTACTTAAGCACAGAGAAGTGGGTGGTATTTGCCCATCAAGACGAACTACGGAACTAAACACCAGTTTTGTTTTGATCCCAATTCCATAAAAACAGGCAAAGACAACACAGAAATGAATCAACAATCTCTCCTAAACTCGGTGTGTGTTTTCCCATCAATTGCACCAAGGGCACCCTCTCAACATAGACCTTCAGGCCAAGCAAATGCCCCGGAATCCTTCAACAAGATCATTCAAGTTAAAATTCACATGCATTTGATCACATGCATTTGATGGGGACATGGTTCCTACTAGATAATACAATTAATAAATTCGAACCGCAAGGATAGGCTTCCCAGCTTGCAAGGCAGCTCCAACATGTATATTTACAATCCTTTTAACAATGTGTATCACTATAACCAACTGACAAAAGCGGGAAAACACTTGGAACAGACTAACAAGGATGACAAAGGAGGAGAATCATGGTTTACTGGTAAATAGGCAGGAGTGTCGGATTGAATGAGGCCTACTCTAGGTCAAAGGAGGAGAATCATGGTTCATAAAGAAAGAAGAAATACCAACTTCTATTCTCTTCTAGGAGACTAGGACTGAATGCGTCTGACATGAACCGCATCAAATTCCTATTTGCAGTAATTTCTTATAGTTATTCAAGCTCAATAAGTTGAAGGTGTGCTATATAGATACACCATATAGCAATTTTCTTTCCCCATGCCAAAAAGCAATTCATCTTCCTAAGACCCAAGGCCAGCATAGTTTTGGTATATAGTGTTGGGATATGTTAGACTACAACACTTATGTTTTAAGGAGTGCTATATAGTTTTACTATAATACTTGGAAAAAAGCATTTTATGGGTTCGAAATAAAAATATTATTTATAATAAACCGTGGTTTTGAAAAGCTTTTTTATGAAATTAGGTCAGGTATTCACAAAATGCATAAACAGAAAGCTAACATTTATAACTTCTTCTTTTCAGCATTTTCGGTGTCCCAATCCAACCTCTTGCACCAACCACTTGATCTGGATGCTTTTAAATTAAACTATAATTCTATGAGCAAATATACTACCAAAGCATAAAAGAAAAACAGGCATTGTATCTCTGTATGTATGCACAAACAATTCAAACCCTAAAGTGCTGTACCTCCCGAATTTGCTGAATTTGTGTTCCAAATCACGAGTGCGGGTCCGAGAAGACAGGTGACCAACGTAGAGACGCGTAGTACTACCATATCGATCATCATCATAGCGAGGCATATTGACCCTGAAATCGGTCGATCTAGTAATGGAGTTCCCTGTGCCAAAGTCGATCTCGTTATCGAGATGGGTATCACTCTAACCCTACGTAACGATACCCTTCTTAAAAATAAGGAGTATACGATAAAAATAGCAAATCTTGAAAATACCCCCACCGGTAGCTCAGTTGGTTCAGTGGTGGGAAATTTGGACCAAATGACCAAGGTTCGAAACCCGGAGCGGCCGTGTGGAGGTCATTGAAATAAGGCTGAGCCTCTGATGCGCACGGGAAAAAGGCCTATCATCATTGGACCGACTGAGTCACCGTGATTAACATCCTCCCAAAAATCCTGTCGGGTCGGGGTATGGGGGACTCCTGGGGTGGGAGATTCCACCTTTTTGGACCAAGCAAATCTTGAAAATAAAAATGGCAACTTTAAGAGCGCCTTACTAATAAGTTTAGATTAACTTGTACAGAGTAATTTTAAACTTCCTTAATAGAAGTAAACATTAATTTTGTACCTTTAATATCCCTAATTTAGTTAATTCTAAAATATGACTTATTTGATCATGTTTAAAAAAATCTAAGTTCATTCAGTGGAAACGATACCTTTATGCATCCCATCAATATTAAAATATGAAAAATTAAAAAGTTATTTTTGTAAAAATAAAAAACATTAAAAATAAATAGATAATAGATAAGCTGTATTTAAAAATAAAAGAATTATGCAGGCCTTTCCCGCAGTCACCTCTGATCGGCAAAAAATGTTATTTTATGTAAAAACTGCCATTTTTCTTTGAAAATGTCATACAGATGGCAGTTTTACTCTTTGAAAATGTCAAATATTTCTCAAAATCTGCCATCTTGATGGCATTTCGGGAAAATGTTGGCATTTTTTTCGGTGGTCGGAGCTGGTTATGCTGGGAGGTTGTTGAGGCGGCGGCAGATGCCTACATATTTTTTTTTATATTTTTTTCATTTTTTATTTTTTTAGAATTTATTTTGGTTTTTTATTTTTATTTTTATTTTTTTATTTTAATAATTTTTTATTCTATTTAATACAGAGTATATTTTATTTGATATTTTTTGTGTTTTTTTTTGTTTTTTACAATTTTATTATAAATTAATTAATCATATGGAGTATTTCTTTTATGTTTTAATTATTAATTAAAGTTGTTGGGACTTGGGTAGGGTATACTTCTCCAAACACTAAAGTTACTACTACTCAAAACATGGTACTCCTATTTTTGCATTTTGCCAAAGTTTTACTCCTATTTGGCGAATTCTCTCTTTATTAAAATACTAGGTATGGGCGATATGTAATTTATCTAATTTAAAATTTGATTGGTTTTTGGAATCATATATAATTGTGACGTAAAAACAAAATAAACTCAGTCTAAATATAGAGTCCGTTTGATAATACTAATATTGGTGGAAACGGTTTATTTTATTGAAATTAATTAAATTCTAGCTGAATAGTTTGAATAGGTGAATATCCCGAATCATGAAAAAAATTATTTCATTTGTTAAATAAATAAAAATTATATGAAAAATAGTATAAATGGGCTTCTACATAAGCTTCTCTACTAAGCATAATTGTTATGAACCCGATTTTAAAGAATTCATAGAGAAGCTTCTTAATTATTTTCATGTTCTCTAAATTACTTTATTATGCGCCTCAAAATATATTTTTTAATATTCCTCATTCAACTTGGCATGAAATAGGGAATACATACTTAAGATTTTACATTTTACACTTATTATTTCATCACATTGAAAACGTCATTAATAAGGACGTTTTTAATTGAATTAAAATTTTCAGCTTTGATTTGGTCTAAAGTAATATGATCTGGTAGATTTCTGTTTTACATTTTATGTGTCCAATTATTATTAAAGTTTGATCTGATCTGATTTAGTTTGAGACTGAAATCAATCTAATTAAAAACATATTAAGAGTAAACAAAGTTAGGAATTTGTAAACATATAAAGATTTCCTAATTTAGATTAGGAATCGATCTATTTCAAAAGTGAGAGAATCTAGCGTCATTTGTTTCCATATCAATATATGCAATCAAAAATAGAATCCAATAAAAATAACTAAATAATTGTTATATATGATGGATGACATGACATGATTATGTGACGCTTTGTATGCTCTTAAAAAGTTCCTCTTATATATATATATACACACACACACATATATATTGATTATACTTCGTATTAAAATTTATTTTATTAATGAAATAAATAAGAAATTATATCTAAAAATAGTTAAAGTGTTCCTCTACAATAACTTCAACCAATAAAAAGGAACTTCAATCTTACTTTTTCTTATTATTACACAATTCAGCGTGTGAAATCAAAAGTTAAGTGTTGGTGAAAAGTTAGCTAATAAACCCAATAAGTATGATAAGTCGAAAACATGATTATCAAACGACTCTTTAAATTAGGTGTAATTCCTTGTCAAGGGAAAAACTACATCTAATGGAAAAAGGAGAAAACAAATCTCAAACTTTAGATGGGTGTAAGATAAACACTTCAAACTTGCACATGTGATATATATATATATATATATATATATATATATATATATATATATATATATATATATATATATATCCCAAATTTTATATAAAAGACTATGTTAGCATCATGATCATATGTTTTTTTCACATTTACGTTGTTGAGTGCATAATATAAAATACAAAAACATTTATGAGGATGCAATTAAAAATAAATTGTACTAAATGTAATATTATTTATTTTAGAAATGACATTCTAGAATGTTGATTGCATCCTAACAAAGCTTAGAGTAATTTAAATTATGTAACTATTCCAATAAATTTATATTTGTAAAAAACCACAATCTTGGTGTGAAAAAAACAATTTAGATAAAGTTCAGTGTATATATATTACATATGCATGTTTGGAATACTTATCTCACGTCACATCAAAATTTTGAGGTATTTATATTATTTTTCCCTTAGAAAAATGCTCTTTGTGATACAGAGTGAATATGTAGTACTCGTAGATTTTTTACTGTATAGAATAGTAAGATAAGAAGTAAAATAAATTGTTAGGTCCCCATATTTTGATTATTAAAATGTTTTGATGATGTCACTCTCATTCCCTGTCTTGTATTAGACTATATCATTTGATCTCTTGTTGTTTTATTTTTGTTTGTTTATTGTAATGTGTTACCTTTAGTTGAAAAAAGTACTCGAGAAAAAACAAAAAGAGAGCGTTAAAAAGAGAATAACTGTAACAAAACAAGGAAAAGAATCAAAAAGCAAAAAGGTACGAAAAAGAGTCAACTTAATACTTCTTAATCGGCAACCTCCTGACAAACTAAATCAGAAGACTACTGAAAACATTCAACTGGCTCCCGACTTAGGCTTTCAGACAAGACCACAAAAATCTACTAAATCTTCTCTACAGCACAAAACAAGGAAACAAAAGACCAACTTGCAGTCAAACTAAAAGAAAGGATAAAAAGTAATTTTATAGGAATTTTTTTTACCACTTCATGAAAATTTCTTATAACATTATTTTTACAAAAAGCAAGAACTTTATAGTCTAAAGGAAGCATTGAACAAATCTGGAAACCATCTTGCTCTATTTATCATACGGACAAAGAATAAATATCTTATTTTTGCCATATGCGTTGATATGAGGAACACAAGTTGAGACAAAGATACAACTCGTGTCACAAGAAGACAAAAACCAACCATGCTGCCTTTTCAGTCAAGTTGAATAATCAAGTGGATCAAAGCAACAATCAAGATCGAATCTATTCAGCCAATGGAAGACCTTCAACAACTCAGTCTTTAAATACAAAAGGAGTGCGTGAAGAACAAAGTGTGTGGAGCTAAGAAGGAAGATGAGATCATATGACATATCCAGCAAACGAAAGTGCTGGACTTCCTTCACCCTCTTGGTTCTCATCCCACTCCCCTAAGCTTTTAGAATAGTTCAAATTCATATACATCTTTAGGGCTTAGTTAGTTGGTAGTTTAGCTTTACTCTTGAAAACTAGACTAGTTTGTAAATTCTGGAAGGCTTTGTGATCAAATCCAAAAGGTAGGTGAAGGACAAGGACATGAGTAACCTTTGGCTTATCAATACCATTAGTGAAAAAACTTGGAGGACTGAGTAGCTTGTAAAGGTGTTCAAATTCCTTGTGAAAACCCTCACAATCTATGCCTGCAACCAAGGGTAGATCGGACATTAATGTAATGGGTATATTCATTAGTGGAAATCCATCTGAAAGACTGTGAGATTGGGAGATTACTACAGTTCTCACTCACTTTCACATCTTTCCAGACAACTTAAACAACTTTCTTAACCAAAATATATCTTGTGCCACCTTGTATATTCAGTTCCAACAAAATACTACAGTTCTCACTCACTTTCACATCTTTCCAGACAACTTAAACAACTTTCTTAAAATACTTATTAGTAAACTATCCAGTTTACCGAACCTCAGTCTCCTTATTTCCCATTCTTGTTTCAAAAGGAGATCTATGCCTTAGTAGTTCAGAATCATTCATACGTATGTGTTTAGTCTGTTCTAAAAAGCTCAACAAATTTTTAGATCATGGTTATTAACTATGTCTCTATCACTGAAGTAGTAACCTCATTCAGTAGCCTGCTTCTTGAGGTTCGACAACCTGCTCCTTGAAAATTGGCAGCCTCCTCCTTAAGGTTTGGCAGCTTGTTCCTTGAGATAGCTGATTTTGACAAACACATGTGCACCCAGTTTAAACCATCTCCCATCCAACTAAAGGGTCATAACTCGTGTTACTATAAAGTGTCACAAACATGAGGTCAAAACTTTCGCTAAATGTTACAATATCTTCCAAAAAATATTGGAACTCACTGAGTTAGAGGGGAAAAAGTTGATAATTTGAAAAGACACAAAAGTCTATTCACCCCCACCCCTCTAGACCTTTGCCTCACATGGGATTATCATAAACTATGAGTTCGTTTGGTGACTCTCTTTTTCGGCTTATCAGACTTATCAGCCAGCTTTTCACCAAACATGTGACTTTTGACCTCACACGTTGAATTGTGTAATAATAATAAAAGTAAGGTTGAAGTTACTGTAGATTATCATTTTAGCTGTTTTTTCAATTCCTTTATTTTAGTATTAAAAAATATTTTAAATATTTTTTTCATAAACCAGTATAATCAACCAATCTAGCAAATTCAGTCGGAACTTCATAAATTTCAGAAAAATCAGCGATTCAACCAATTGCAGTGTTACCAAACAAACTATATATTTGAATTTTGAAGCACGTACGAACACGAGGAATCAATAATACTTGAGAATTAAGTTTAATTAATTTAAATAATGGAATTTTTACAAATTGATGATGAATAAATTTTATTAATATTTCTATTTAAAATGTAGTGGACAAAAATATCACTTCCTCCGCCCCGCTAAGATTGTCCCGTTTTTTCATTTCAGGAAATCACATTAAGATTATCTCATGCCAAATTTGGTAAAGATTATGCGGCTTTTATTCATTTTTACTTTGTTCTTACTTTATCAATTCAATATCAATCACATAAACTCACTTTTCTTAATAATCGTGTCACTCCCCCCTCATGTCTCAATGGAAGTGGGACGGAGGTGGAATTTGGTGGAGTAACTATTAGTGACTATGAGTGTTGGGTGTGTTTCGGAAAATAAAGATAATTAATTAAAATAAATTAATTAAATAAATGACTAGAGAAAAACAAGAAAGGAGATGAAGCAGAATTAGTCAAAGCTCGTGCTACACACGATTTCCTTAAAACGTATTTGTTGCCTCCCACGGTGCTAGGAGCGTTGCAACAATCGTTTCCCAGGATACGATGACTACGAACTAATGTTTGAGCACACAAACAAGAGTTCCAGCGAACGAGAACCAAGTATGAACACAGAAGGAATTTTGCAGAGTAGCTGTAGGTGTTTTTAGCTCAAGAAATTCGTGAGGAAAGTATTGTGCGTTGTGTCAAAGTATTGTGCGCACACGAGTCGCGGTTTTTCTTCTCCGTTTCGGGATTTGATCGGCACCCCCCCCCCTGCGCGTAAGAGAGAACCTTTCCCTTTAGGAATCTTAACTTCTTAAAAGAGGCTTCCCTTTATAAGGGGGTGAAAATCCCTTGAGTTTTTCGGTGTGAGATAAAACACACTAGAAACTCATCATTTTTCCCAGTTTTTCCATTTCAACAAGTGAACTTCGAGAATCAATTTCTCATTCACCCCGTTATCCGTTTTGAGTGTACCACATATCGAATTGTAGCCCTTAACAAGGACAATCCGAAACCACTTTGACCCGACCAAAATCGGAAGTGGACCCCACTCAAATAATTGCCCCAAAATGACCATTTAATGCAATTTTTAACACATTTTTCCAACAATTAGTGTGTTCAAATCTGCACCGTAGTAATTATATGTAATGTACTACCATGTAAATTTTGAATACAATTATAGTCACTAATAGTTACAGAGTAGTAAGTACGAAGTAATATTTGTGTTCATGACTTTTTTATAATTAAAATATAAAAAGTTGTTTTAATAGTAACATTTGCTTTTATTAAAAATAAACACCTTTAAAACGATAAATAGAACATTTTAAAACGCATGTCATCCCTCCATCCCATATAACTTTATTGGATTTTTAATTAATGATAATAAACTTTGAACTATGATTTTAGATATTAAATTGGTGTAAACTTTATAACATTTATACTTTTATGGAAATATATTTAACAAACAGAATATTTTTATATTTAAAAGAAATTAAACGGTACGATACCGGTCCTAGATTATGAGAGCAAAAAAACAATGGACCAGACTGTTTAAATGTATTGCGTTTGAGAATTTTATATTTTTCTATACCAATAAATCTTTTTTTCAGACCAACAATTTTATAGCCCACGTAGTTGTGTTGCACTATTTGAGTATTTGCATTTTAAGAACAAAACATGACAATTTCTTAAGCTTTTCCTAGCATTTAGTATGTTGTTTCTTGCATTTTATCAACATTTCATGTGAATTGGCTTGCATGATGATATGTACTAATTGTAATATTTGTCCAAAAATTTAGCATTAGTTCAACATTATATTGCACTGTACCCTTTTGTACCGTTATGAAGTGGTATGGTACCAACTGATTCCATCCTTAAAATTGGACCACACCGAATTGTTAGATACCTCATAGGTACATTATGCGTTTTTGCTAATTACCGAATTAATTTTGTACATTCATTTTTTTCAAGTAAATATGGTTGCACTGCAAAACTAATCCTCCACAACATCTTCAATTACATTGATGTTTGTCGAGTGGAAACGTTTGACACGTCTATTCATACACATAAAGGAATTCATGCATACATGCAGACAAAAAATACGGTAAGAATAAATTCCTAATAAACTAACACTGTAAAGACATTGTAGCCGATAGTATCTAAAGGGCAATTTAAAAAAAGGAAATTTAAATAACACACACCTATTACATAACCATGCCCACAAATTATGGCATAAGATAATTTGTTTTGTAATTCCTACTATGCCCTCATTACCAAACACATAGGAGCCGTCAAGAGTTTTTGGAACTTTCACTCATACATCACAAGTAGAATATGATATTTGAACTTTCCAAAATGAGGACGAACCAAAAGGAGATAGAAGTCCAGCGGTGTCTCGCTCATGTGGCTCACATCCTTTAGAAGTGTGACGGTCTCGGCGTGATTGACGATGATCTAGCTACTGCGTTGAAACGTCACAGTACGAACATCAATTATCCTCCCAGAGTGCCAAATGCCTTCTCGATATGCCTCACCTTATTTGTTATTTTCTCCTAAATTAGGGTTTTAGTTTCCAATTTCTACTTAATCTTGCTCTGTGCCAAGTGCAAATTCGTGATATCATCTAAATATAGACATACACAAATGGTTGTATATGCTTTAATAACTTTGCATCAGCATCTTAGAAATTAACATGAGTTTTCAATATCATTTATTGATCGACATAGATAGGTACACTAGGATTATATGGAAGTTGGTGCGGCGATGCCATCGTGATAATCTTTACATCATACGAGGTATGCATTGTTGTACAATTTACAAGTCTTTCTCTCATCACTGCTTGTGTCACTATAACCATACCAATGTGTGCACGAGCTTGTGTGTAGAACTGAATTTAATTATTCTCATATGTGGACAGGAAACCATTCAAGGGTTCAATGCAAGTGATCCCCTTGGAAGAGAGTGAGGCGTTGCTAATGAAGAGTGCTGAAACAACATGGGAGGCACAACCTTTATGCTATAAAAATGTAATGAATATACTCCTGATTATACTATAGATGGAAAAGTTCTTAAACATTGTATCATTTTAATTATTGCGTCTATTAGGGCTTATGGGCATACTTAGCTAATAGTTTGAGTACATTTAAAGTTGTTCTGAGAAATTGTCTGATTTCTTCTTTCACATGTTTGAAAATTCGACCGAGTGTCTTGATATAGTCTCCCATTTTGTTTCTAAACACATATAGTTGAATGTTCTTATGATATGTACCGTACGAGATAACACCAATCACATAACATTAAACATTCTTCTAATGAACAAGTGTGAATATAATGAAGAGAGAAGAACACAATTTACTATAATTCTAACAATTCTAGCGGCACACACATGTTTTTAGAATATTCATTGATGAGATAACAACAATGAAAATAACAAAGTATATGCAAAGGATTGTTGATGAATGTTTAACTAAAAAACATTTGTTTAATCGATTGTAATATATTTGTTTAAGGTAAAAATAAATATTTGAATAATTTTATTTAATTATGTTTAATATGGTCATTATAATTACCTTAAAAAATTAAAATATACTCATACTTGAAATACATTCCACTGGCCCGTCAAAGGCCCAGTGGTTTTTAAAAAGGTTATCACTAATGGTGAACGCTTCCTTCGGTCTAGGTGATCGACATATCGTCACCATCAACCATCTTCCATTTCGGCCGCCCGTCCATCGCCGTCAACGGCGTTGTTCTCTGCAGCGCCCACCTCCTGCTGCACATTGTCTATTACACCTAGACGCTGAAATAATCTCCAATTGCCGTCATTTCCGACTCTCAACTCAGCTAGGTAAAAAAATTAAATTTCAGATTTGTTCAAAATAGAAAAGATTTCCGATTCAATTAGAGATTTTTAATGATATGTGTTTCAGAAAATTTGTGATTCGATTATCAATTGACCATCTTTTGTTCAATTAATAAATTGTAATTTTCTGAAATTTCGATTAGTGAATTTTAGGAACAAAAAAATCGTAAAAAATTCTGCACACCCTTCTTTATTCGACCATTCCCACTTCAAGTGTGTATCTTATTTATAGAATATCTTCATGGTATAATCTTGAATTTGATCTAATTTTTTAATTTCTGTCTTGCTGTAAAAAACCCTTATTCAGTTGTTCAGTTTTAATCCAACTTCCGATGAGAAGAAGTGATAAAATATGGTTTAGTTTATCGTGTTAAGAACTTAGATTGGGTTAGAGCTTATAACAAAAGCTTAAGTTTCTCTTTCACGTGTAAAGAGTTATTGAAACACCGTTACAAATAGTTTAGCAGTGCACTGATTTCAACTTGTATTGCAAACACGGTGATCGAATTAATATATCAATGTGATTTTCTTAAAATACAACTCGCTGTCAACTTTTTAAAAATAATATTCAAAGCATTCTTGTCATAAACAGGGGCAATTAGCATCGTTTATGCTTGATAAGCATATTCTCAATTTTCTCCTACTTCACCAAGAAATCAGATACCATAAATGTTTCTAAATAATTTCTGAACATGAATGATTAGAATATTCCATATCTCATTGTCACAACATTATTGTTGGTAACCTGTTTAACTAAATTTAGAAATAGTATTTAAGTATTAAATTTAATATGATAGTTACTTGTGAGTATCTTTTTAGTATTATCTAATTTATTATATTTTGTGGTGGATAGTTATAGAGTCAAATTTGTGATGCTTTTTATTTGACTTTGATGAAAACTCCTATCCTTGTCAAATATTTGTAAAATGTCTTCTTTTACCTTGTTGCAGTTTATGTTATTTTATACTAGTATGTAATAATTTTATGGCCCACGCTCAATTAAAATGCTAGATCCCAACATAGGTAAGACCGGACCATGAATAAAATTAGATCTGAAATCATAAGTAAGAAATTGGATTATATTTATATGACTTAAAATCAGAATCAAGATTTTTTTCAACCTCTTTACTCCTGGAATAAGATGCATATCCCCTCAAGAATGTCTTATTGCAGACAGCTCTGAAGATGTCACCTCTTACTGCTGACAGAACTGAAGAATTTTATTGCTCATTTTGACTGACTATGATGGTATGCATCTCCCGCTACTGTGGGTTTTGTGTTGTGTTTATCTTCATTAAAGTTTTAATCTCGAATTACAGGGTTGCAAGTGTGCGTGAAATGGCTATATATAGAGCTGAAATTTGAGTTTCTTAATTATTACGGAATATGAATATGGCGTCTTTCCATTTCCACGTGTCTCTTCGCGTTTCTATGTCTTGAGAAGATAAATCATACGGAGTAATAAATGTTTATTTGGAAATACGGATTTGTTGTCTAGTATTGCTGTGTCATCATTGTATTTATTGATACCAAAACTTTAATTCAAATTTGCTGCGGAAAAAATAATCGTTCCGTGTGTCAACTTTTTTGGCGGGAACTTGCTCTGCAAGTTTCCTTTTGCTAGTATACTACGTAGTATAATAATGCAATTATAGAATTTCATAGTGACCAATGCCAATGATTAGTAATCATCATCAAATAATATAGATCAACAATCTTCCAATTCAAAAACCTTCTTTAAGACCCACATCATAAAAATAAATTTATATTAGGATTTTGGTTTTCTTTCTGTTTATTTATTCATGAATTATTTTTTAATAGAAGAATGCATAGTCTTGTATAACTCAAATTTATTCGATTCGCCTAAAAGATAAATTGAGTAGATACGCCATGATTATAGTGAGGTTGTGCTTCCAAAGGCCACTATAGGATTTGAATTCTGGCTTTGCTCACCATTTTTAGTCAGAGAGCCGGTCATTTAATTCAGAATATTTAAAAGGGGATGTAAACCAAAGGCATAATTTATCATGGGGTGTAAGTTCAAATTAGACAATTTTAGAATAACTTTTTATTTTGAAATAATATGGTACCATCTACACTCTAGGTTGATTACAATCTTCTCCAAATTTATGGGGTGATTTTTTCATTGATTTAGATTTAGTTAAGGATTCATCTAAAATATAATGGGGTGTAAGTTCAAACTAGACAATTTTAAAATAATTTTTTATTTTGAAATACTACAATCTTCTCCAAATTAAGAGTCTGTACTTAAGCGGGAGCTAGATCTGGTAGTTGTGAACTTGTGATGAACATAAGAACATGTTATGAGGTGATTCCTTTCATTGAATTAGATTTAGTTAACTATTCATCTAAAATATTACTAAACGTGATGTTATGTAGTATAATAGTAGTCCAATGTCTTCTTTATATAGTATATAGAAACTCATACCCTACTAGTTTTAAGTTTCTAACTGCTTTTTTATATATTCTTTTTAAGGCACTTTCGTGGAATGCTTTTCATGAAGATTGCATATTTGCGTTAGATAAGTGTGGGTTATTTCAAAATGGTAAAATATTTTAACTCTCTCTCTCAATTTTGTTGTTATTCCATCAGTGAATTCAATTGCTTTTTACTCATTGCTTTTGAATTCTTTTACTCCCTCCTTATTCTTTTGTTTGGGTGCACTTTCCTTTGAGATGTATATTAGTTTTTGCTATACTTTCCCTTTTTGGTATGTTTTCCCTTTAAAATTATTTCCTTTGTATTGAAATGTTTGCTACAATGGGGTTTGACACAATCTTTAAGAGAAAAGTAGTAGAGGTAATGAATAGTGTAGAAAAGTAGGAGAGAGTATGGAAAAATATGAAAGAGAGGATAAAAAGTAAAAAAAGTAAAGGTAATTGAGTATTTTGAAAGGAAAACTTACCAAAAAGGGAAAGTGTAACAAAAATTAAAATACATCCCAAAAGGAAAGTGTAGCAAACATATCAATATGGAGGGTGTATTTAATTACCCTCACCTTTTCTACTTTTTATCTTCTCTTTCTTACTTTTCCACACTCTCTCCTACTTTTTCCACACTATTCATTACCCCTATTACTTTTCCCTTAAACTCTATTGTAGCAAACAATAGAATATGGAAGGAGTAGTTTTTATGTTAAAAGTAGGTTTACAAATTGAAGATATTGTAAAATATTGTTTTTAAAGTTTATTTTTTCTGTGGTTCAATTTGGCTTGTATTTTTGTACTTAGTTTTGTATTTTGTATACACAGATTTAAAATAGTTTTTTAATATGTTTTGAATAGATAGATTGATGATGAAGCTGTTGTCTGTTAAGTAGTATTCTGTTAAGTAGTATTCTGTTAAAGTACTTTATTTGTTAAAAATACAGACAAACTTTATAAAATGTATACATATTTTACCGTTATACGAATGCTAGTCCCATATATACATGAATTAAAAATCTGGTTTAAACCTGACTTAATAAATAACAATGAGACAAATGAAGCAATGGATTTACCACTTCATTGTGAAACATACATTCCACAGGCGCATGATGTTTTTGTTTCATTGTGACTGCCACAAGTTGATGTTTTTGTTGTTAAAGTCCTGAATGTCAAGTTGCCAACCATTTTGCTGATATGAAAGAAGAACCAGTTTGCTGATATGAAACCTCATACAGGCTTATTTATCTATCGAATTACTCGGTGACCATCCTCGGAATGCCCCTGGGAAATGCGTTGTGCTGCCTAAGAATAAATTATTATTTGTAGAATTGTATCCTATAATTTTCTTGAAAACAGAACTGTGTTCATGTAAACATATATTAAATAGGTTCTTTAATGTTCCTACTTTTATTAAATGTGTTTTCAGACACTCCTTGTGGCTGGACATATCATTCCAGCAAACTTTAGTGCTAGACATTTTAGTGGAAATGTTCCACTGAGTCGCATGACCGATTTCTTGCCATGCACTTTTTTTGGTGCTATCTTCCCCAGGAAGATTCAGTTTCTTACTGTTATATTATTATAATTTATACGAAGTAATAGATGTCTATTGAATCTGATCTTTTCATTTTTATTTTGCATTTTTTTTTGTTTTAGCTTCTTGAGTGGATTCTATAAGTTTCACCTAAGCAGATACATTGATTTAAGCACATAAGCTGGTTTAAGGAGTGCGATTAATTAGATAAACCGTCATTATTATTTTTAAGTGAAGAGGCTCATGGCTTATCTTATTAGTTGGTTTTCTTCATTTTCAGAAGTTTAATCTTTTCAAGAATACAAATGCCTTTATTTTCTGTATATCATGCACTGACGTGTGCTAGGTCATATTCTTTTCCTTTGTCAAGACTTTATTTCATTGTAGTATTGTACTCTTTAGGGTTTGCCCCTTTTCCAGTAGTCATATATTTCTTACAGAGAGCACTTCCAGTTTGTTTTGAAGAAATACTAAATGTACTAAATGTTTAAGGCTCCTGCATTAAGCTGGTTATTTTACATGTTTACAATCAATCATTTATACAGTAACGTGTCATGGGGATAAGTTATATACATAACTTTTATCCCTGGTATATAATATGATATTTTATTTGGTCAGGTATGCAGTGCCTGAATTTTAATTAACATGATTATCAATGTAGGGGGGAATGACATTTTAACTACACAGAGTCACAGACTGTATAGGTATATATGTAACAGAGTATCATAAATTGCTGTGTTTAGAAACTGCATTCCACTACAGCATCTTCATTTATGTTGTTTGAATCACGAAAAGAGCTGTCGTGGCCAATGCAGACACGATTTAGATGAAGAGTTCGAACCCCAACCTCAGGCTCAGGTTTCTTGGTGATAATGGCATCACAGTTTATCCTCTCTATCGTTGTACATTTTTTGAAGTTGGAGAATTAATATCAGAATTACATATGTGAACCAATTGAGGCATGCGTAGTGATGACTGATGATACCATTGATTCTGGGATGGAGCCTCTGACAAGCTCTACTAATAACAATGGAAGTCGACCAAGACAGAGTGAAAACACGGAAGTTCAATATGATATTTCTAATAGTAGTGATGATTATTTGATGGACCAAGAATATGTGGTTGCTGAAAAATCTTGGATCAATGAAACATCGGATACTTTGTTGGAAGGTTGCTTGAAGAAACCATTCGACTTCCTGATCAAGATGCCAAAGTTCTATGATGAAATGCTGAGAGAGCAGATCAGACTTGCACAGCTATATGTTGATGAGATGACTCGAAGTAGGGATGCTATTTGCCAGGAGATAATAAAGAAGAGAGTAAGGTTAAATATATAAAGCCCCTCCAAATTTATAGTGTGTTGCAGACTTTATTTAAACTGTGGGTACCTCGTGTGCAGGAAAATTGCCAACATTATGGTGTTGAATTTGAAGCTGCCAAAACTGAGGAGAGAGCTGCAAGAAAACAAATCAGGTCAAAGCGCGCTGAAATTGAGAATCTTCAGATTGCAATAAATAGAGTAAAGAATGCAATTTCTATTGAGGACATAGATGCAAGAGTAGGCATTCAACCCCCATTCCCTCCATCTAAAGAATAATTTAAAACAAATACCATGGAACATTATTGTGTGTGTATACTGTATACATATGTATATTTAAAAAATTTTATACACAATATTCTATAGTATTTGACATATCTACATCTTCCTTTTCCCAGATATGTAGCATGGAACACATGATACATCATGAATCTCTTCCTTTAATGAAAGAAAATAATTTAATTCGTGAAATTAAGCAACTGAAGCAACTGCGAGATCAATTGTCATCCAACATAGGTAGCTGTGTTGAAGTGCAGCAGGCTCTGGATAATAGAGCCCAAATTGAGGAGAATTTAAAGGTAGCACACTGAAATGCTCTTCAATATGTTACCACATGGGAAGTCTGCACCCACAGCCTTCAGTAGGAGACCAATTCTGTCATGTTTTTCCACTTATTATCTAATATAACTGATTTATGGCTTTCCTTTTCCTAATCCTAATATTTGCAGATTTTGAAAAGAGAGCTTCATAATCTTAAGAACAAGGTCTCAGAAGTTGAAGCAGTTGTTGTAGCAGTAAGTTTAAGATATGAAGAAGAAAGCAAAATGCACAAGGAATTGCGAGATCAGTATAAGGCTGCCAATGAACTTCGCCAAGCTGCACGTGGAAACTTGCAGAATTTGAGAAAGGCACTATATGAGAAGGTTAGTTCTGATAATTATTAGATTCAGGTATATACCTCCATTCTGTGTTTAACAAGTCTGAGGACCATTTTTTGTGATCATTGCAGAACTTGGTGTACTTCTGATGTTTGTAATAGCTCAATTAAATAATTCCTTTCAAAACGACAACCCATTTTTTCGGTTTCCATCATTTGATATTCTTACCTTGTTGTATTCATGCTTATAATGCACATGTTGATTTTATGATATCAATTTTAAATAGAGCATGGCTTTGACAACTATCTCAACTCATTTCCTCCGATGACTTTTCTATATAAGTTAAAACCTATGATGATGATAATTTTGGACATTCATGGCATAATTCCTTCTTTAGAAGGTTCCAACAATTAGTTTTAGCATAATTCATGCAATGTGGTACAACTTCGTCATTATGCCTTTTGCTTAGATTTATGGCTTTAACTAATTTTAGACCATTAGTTTAAACTGAATCATTGTGGAGCCAAAGATTCATTATTTTTTGGCTTGAGATTATGATGGAATAAAGCAAAATGGCTCACTAAACTGTCTGCGCTTCTATGTTATGAAGCAGCATTCAGTCCATGCAATTTTGGACGGGATTTTCACTATGGGTCATCCGGAAACAGTCTCTCTGTGCTTTAGTACAGGGGTAAGACTGCGTACATCTGACCCCCCTTACCCCACCGTAGGTGGGAGCCTTTGCGGCACTGGGGAAAATGAAAATGATGATGAGTTTAATGAAAATGTAACTTCGTCCTGCCGAATTTAATGTAGTTGTGATAAGGTGCTGCTGCTGATGATAATGAATGTAGTATAAATGCTGTGGTTGTGGAAAACGACGCATGGATAACTTGTACTATCATGAAAAATAATGATAATGATAATGTATCTCTTTTCTGAGCTTTTATCATTGTTGTTCATTACTAGATTAAACAAAACTTTAAATCTTCTAAACCTGTAGAACAAGCACTTCCGCATGTACAAAGATGACTCAATCACTGCCAGTAAACTTGCTGCAAGCAAAGACACTGAGACTCTACATCACCTATGTGCCAATCAGGTAAGGTAATTCGGTAATTCCATTTTCTTTTGTCATTTTTTAGAACAATGCGAATAGAAGTTGTGACTTTTCAGGTCGAGAAGTTTATGGATCTCTGGAATGGGGACGAAGAGTTTCGTAAAGAATATGTGCGATCCAACATGCGAAGCACAATTAGGAGATTCGGAACTTTGGATGGTCGCTCTCTTGGTCCTGATGAGTCTCCACTTGTGCTTCTTCCGGTTTATGATGTAGCTGAAAGAACTCGTAAGCTAGGTTCCAAAACGTTAGAAGTTGATTTGGTCTCCCCAAACAGGGCCAGAAATCCCACAGTGAAAGTTGCAGGGAATGAGACTGAAGATCAGGAAATAGTGACGTGTAATTTGGAGAATGTGGACACTGGATCAGGTTGGGAGGGGAGGAAAGACGGCAAAGCTGAAGACGTACAAACAAAGGAGGAATTAGAGCTTGCTTGGAAAGAAGAGGGACTTAGAAAGCTTGAGATTGCTGTTAGACTGAAAGAGCAACGGCGGTTAGAGGAGATCATCAAGGGCAAGGAAGCACTGGAAAGGAAAAAGCGAAATGCGGAGAAGGCTCAATTGAGGGCTGAATTACGAGCTCAGAAGGAAGCAGAACAAAAAGAGAAGGTGAAGCTTTTTTTTGTCGTATTTTTTGCCAATTTTATATCATTGCTCTCCTGATGTTTTTTAAGAGGCATGTATGTACTTAATAGTTTTTTTTTCTTTTTAGTTCTTTGTGTACTCTCCAGCAACCTACATTCAACAACAAAATTGATATGATTAACATGGTTTCTCTCACCTGCCCTTTACTTCACTAATAGTCTCCAAAAAGTTATAAAAGGTTGAAGCAGAAATTTTGAATTGGAGTTATGCAAGCTAATTGATTTTTTTTTCCTGAATGGAAACTGCCCACGAGATAGAGAGGCTTAAAAAACATGTATTTCAGGGATGAAAAGCAAAACAAAGTATTACGAGGGCCTAATACTGAAAGTGCTAGGGAAAATAATATATTTATTTATTATTTATGTACAGGAAAGGGAGAAGAGACTGAGAAAAAAGGAAAGAAAGAATGAAGGTGGTCCAATTGGCGATGTGATGAGAAGTGGTATTGACATGAAAGAGAACGAAAGTAGGGAAGCGGCTATGGACGAGTGTGGTCAAGCTGCTGCTGCTGGTGGTGGTAAAAAAACTCATCAGTGCACAAAGCAAAGCAAAACGAAATCTACCCCTCTCCCACCACTTAGAAACAAAAGCAAGAGGAGATTGCAGCAGTGGCTGCGGATTATTCTCACATCCATCGTTGTGATCGTTTTGTTCCTGCTGGGAAACATTGGTTTCTTTGCCAGTCTTAAGCAACGCCAAAATGTGCCATAGTCTCTTTTCTATGAAGATCTGGGCTGGTGGGGTCTGACAGCGTTCCAAGCTAGTTACTTTAAGATTTATACACAGATTTTTATTTGATTCTTGAATAATCCTAGTTGTTTGGGAACGCAGTTCTGTTTCATTCTTTGAGGACTCAATCTTATTCTTTGAACGACTTAAACACAAAATAACAATACATTACATCGAGGTTATGTTATACGGAATTACGGAGTATATGACTAATTACTTTTGCACATATATCCTTGTGTCCCATCTTTTTTGTCTACTACGTTCGTCTTTTGTTTTGAAGGCCAAACCCCAAACTTTTGGGATATAAGTGAGAATATGTGAATCTTTGTAGAAGTTAATTTGTAGAAATGATTTTTAGCATTTAATTTATTTCTTTTGTTTGAAAAAATCAATCTATCTAAATTTTTGCTGTTTCACATCTTAACAGTTAATTCTTGAGTTGAACACTTGAACCACTCCATTCCACTATGCGACTATGCCGGGCATTTTATCACCACCTTGCCACTTGTTTTTGGGCCACTTGGCATTCAGCACCTTTTAGAACAATGTCTAAACAGCTAAACTCACCATGTCTGTTTCTCTTACTTTCTTGACCAATGGTGTTAGAGTTTGATCTAGGGATGGACTAAACTGGCCCGGTCCGGAACCGACCCGACCCGACCTGACCTGACCCGGAACCGGCCCGGCCCGCTACTGTGCGGACCCAGACCGGACCGGGACCGGTTGGTCGGTTCCGGGCTTTTAGCCCGTTTGGGCGGGTCGGGCGTGCCGAGATCCGGCCCAGTTTTGGCGAACCGGCCCGGGCGGTTCGGGCCGGGCTCGGGTCATTTTTTTTTTGCAATTTTTTTTCTTTTCCTAGGGTAGGGCTGGGTGTTTTGGGGAGGTTTGGGGGTCGGGGGATAACAAGAAAGCAAAAAAAAAAATAGACATTGAACCGGGCCCGGCCCCGGCCCGGTTAGGGCCGGACCTGGTATCAACCCGGGCCGGTTCCGGGCCCAAGGATTTGCAAAAAAAGCCCGTCCAGGCCTAACCTGGAACCGGAACTGGACCGGCCCGGGTCCATCCCTAGTTTGATCAACAATGTATTGATAATTTATACTACATCCGTTCTTAAATAAGTGCAACATGTGAAATTTTACACTATTCACATGTTCTACTTTGACTACATTTTATTTATTGATGTATTAATATATTTTTTGAAAAATATATTATTAAATTTATCTCATTGTAAATTTTCAAAAACTATTTTTTTTTTAAATTTTTTACTAATAGAGAATTATATATATTGATGGTCAAAGTTGTATCTCGGCAAGTGTGAAATGTTTACTGTTGCACTTATTTAAGAACGGAGGAAGTATATGAAATTATTTATAACATTAACATGATATCAAATGTTCTTAAAAATACTTGTACAAGTATAAAATTTGTACTGTAGCTTTCACAAAGCCACATCAATCAAAGTATTGGTTAAAGTTTTACCATCTTTCACTAATAAAGTTAAAGATGATTGAATTATAAAGAATGTTAAGAGTATTTTTATAATCGTCTTCCAATATTTTTTCCACACTGATTTTTTTATAAATTTTTGTGTTAGAGTCAATTAAACTACATATTTGATTTCTAATGGGACCAAGTTAGTCTTATGATTTTGATTAAAAAGTGGATTATTGTTTGGTTGACTAAGGTGCGAGTCAATTAAACTCTTTCTAAGAACAGGGCAGATTGTCAATGGCATAAAAGCAATTTCGTAATGAAATTGGTAGAGTGAACACTTTGTATCTCTCCTGGTTTGATCGTTGATTGAGGAAAAAGAAAAATGCCTTCTTGATAAGCATTTGATAAGCATCTATTGATCTATTCCGTTGTTATTGATAAATGAGTTTCAATAGTTCCTAGTCTTCTTATTCCTTCATATTAAGAAATTGATATATGCAATATTAAGAAGTAAAATTAATTTAACTAGGTAGTATAATATTAGTATTGCTATATTGTGTCTAATAATTTCAAAACATGACAATACTGTTTTGAAATGGTACGGTAGCATTTTACTTCCGTTTAAAAAAGGATAGTATTTCTTACATTTTGAGAAATTTCACATTAATTTTCTATTTCCATAAATCCATGCAAGTTTATGTGACAATTATATTTAAAACACACTTCTACGGAGTCTAAAGACTATGCTTGATAAATTGGCTTACTACGTATAATCTGTTTTTAACTGGTTTTGATTTATTGTGATGTTGTTAGCTAACATCCACCAGCTAACAATGGATTGTCAAAAAGACCAAAATCTTTTACTTTGAAGTTTGAAGGGTTGCTTCCCGAAAGAAGTGGTATCAATTTGAATAGTTCGGATTCAAGCACTTCCATAGTTGTATTAAGTTATCTCTCACCGGTCACGTATAAAATACGAATTAACATATAAAGCCTTGAACTAGTTGTTTGTGACATTTTAGAATGAACACCAAGTCTTAATATGATATGATTGATATCATAATCATCTAAGCTTCAACCACTAATTAGATCACAATATGAATCATTAAAGAGCTAACACAAGTAAAATCAGACTATAAGGTTGGTCTGTTCCAACGAGTAACTATCTTACAAGGCATATTAAGTAATTTGCATGACTTTCTAAGTTTATGTTGCAAAGTTTGGATTCAAAATGTAAAAATTCTAGCAAAAAACAAACACGGATTACATATAGTTTTATTAGTAAATCAATATTACTCCGAAAATTATTCAATGCCTGGAGGAATGGAGGATCATATGGACAAAATGCATGGGGTCATCACGTGTCACGTGATATGATTTATCATTTCTCCCAAGTTTGAATTCAAATTTTCAAATTTCCCTGAGGAAATAATACATTGATGATGATAGATAGATCACCGGCACTTTCTACTACGGAATTTTATCAATTCAGGACCCGAAAGATAGATTAATTATCAATTCGGGACCTGAAAGATAAAATGCATCGATATAGGACTCGAATGATGAAAAACTATCAATTTAGGACCTGAATGATTGAAAACCTATTAATCTAGGACCTAAGTTGTCATAATTTTTTTTATTAAAAAAATTTAAATATTATTTCGTTTTTATTAAAGTAATAAACTTTTGTGAAGAAAAGTTTATCCAAAATTAGTAATGGAATTAATAAAAAATTAAATAAATCAAAACCTATGAAACGTTAGGTCCTAAATTGATAGTTTTTCATCATTCGGGTCCTATACCGATACGTTTCATCTTTCGGGCCCTGAATTGATAATTAATCTATCTTTCGGGTCCTGAATTAATAAAATTCCTTCTACTATTGCACCACAAGAAAAGTGATTTTATATTGTTGTTCCAAATCTCCACCACTCGACCAATTGAGCTATCCCTGCGGGTAAAAGTGATTTTATATAGTCAATATTGAAATAATAAAGTGATAATAAAAGGAAAAATAATTTAAAACCACATAAATCTTACCAAATTAAGTATGAGACAATCACAAAATGTAACATATAAAAAAAGAAATATGAGATAATCTTAGTAGGACGGATGGAGTATTATGTATATTGATTGTCTACAGAAACATATACAGAGTAATATACTTCGTATATAATTTGAACTAATATTCATCCCGCTCGCTTATGATTATTTAACTCAACCGTTGTTTAAATGTCATCCTTTTCTTCTTCACCTCTATGTCTCTATAATTACCTTATTTTTGTGCATGCATTTTTATACTCTGTATATTCTTTCTTTCATTTATTATTCGTTAAAACTTTAATTATAGTTGATATTGTGTATATTCTTCTATAAATGACTTTCAGAAACTCGATTTCTATCTTTTTAAGCGCAGTGCTGATCAAAAGAGAGACTTAAGAGGGAGATAACGAATAAGGGGTACCACACAGATAGAAACTTTTTACAATCTCTATAAGAAAGGCACATATGGAGTATATTTTATGAATTAAAAAATGTCTTTTATGAGAATCTATTCGATCCTTATCTTTGAAGGGAAAGCATTTTCATAGCCTTTAGGGGAAGGGAAGCAGAGAGGTTAGTTTTTCCTATCTTTATGAATTTATCCTATTATATAATATTTCATATAGTAATAAGAAGTAATTTTTAGAATATACTTTTATTTAACTATGATTTTATTCATGGAATAGCTTTGGTGATTTAATTTTCAAGACATCAAATAGTGGAAAGCAGAGAAATATCCAAACCAACTCAATCCCAGGGCTACATTTTGCTAATCTGTGGTCTAGGGGAGAACTTCATTTTTCAAAATCTTGTAGTAGTGATTGAACTAATTGTTGAAAATTTTGAAGAATAGAAAGCATTCTGCATGCACATATGAAAACATGGTGTTCAGCTTTTAAGTGAGGCAACATATATATATATATTTAATCCCAGGTTTGTACACAGTTTTCTTTGCCATTAGCTTTTCCAAGCAAGGATTTAATAATAATAATCACCTCATTTGCTTCTAATGTAAACAAAGCTCTAAAATTTAATCAAAGTAGTGGAACCAAAATGCTATCATTGATCATATACTACCAATGCTGTCTTCTTACTTAACTTGTGTTTATTTTCCTGTGATTACAACTGTATTTTCCTATTTATGAAGATTTCATCTCAGTGAGAAGATAATGGGGGGAGAAGATGCAATTAGAACTGTAGAATGCCTTAGAGGGAGATTACAAGCAGAAAGAGTTGCTTCAAGAAATGCTAAAGAAGATGCTTATCTAATGGAAACCAAGGTTCAATCCTCTCTGTGTCTCTTTCTAGGGTTTGTATCTGGTAGAATTCATATCTGATAAACTATTCAATCCAGTCATTTGAACTATTCACAACTTTCTTTAATATTTCTGGGGCATGTAAGACTCTGATAGTCTCTTGTGACTAACATTGCTTCCTTTTTCTTGATATTTTGGGAAAAAGTTAAATATACTCCTGAGTGAAAGTTTCCAAGATTATAATTTGGATGTTTTCTTTTTCAAATCATGGAAATAAACAGTTAATTGAACTGGAGGCTAAGTTGAAAGAAGAGAATAAATCGAGAAACCGAGCCGAAAAGAGGTTTAAGCACCTAATGAAGAAGCTTGAGTCAATCAACATATCATTAACATCATCATCAGATGAATCAGAGAATTGGAGTTTGACAGTGGGCAGTGAAGATTCCTCTGTATCAAACACAGCCTGTTCTAGCTCAAAAGTATCAGAAGATATGACGCTCAAATTCGAGGCGGTATCATCTTCCACGGATGATTCTCAAGAAGCAATTGATAATTCTAAAGCAGAAAATGAGAGTTTAAGCTCATCAGGTGAAGAAGACACTGGGAAATCAGTTGAACATGGATTAATTGAAAAGAAGGATCTTCCCATGAGGGATGTCAATAGGTAAACTTAAATGCACATACTTAATTTCTCCTTATTTCAAACTTTCAAAGAGCATATATCTGTTCATTTCCATTTTGGTGCAGATTCTTAGGGACATATTCAATCTTTTAGTGCAGTTTTACCCACATATGTTATGATCCTGTTGAGTTAACCTGACCTAATTATAAATTCTCTAAAGTTGTATCTCATCTACCATGAAAACTTTTGCATCATCCATGTGTATTTAATTATTCCATTTCACTTTTTATTGTACTCGAACATCCATGTTTTTTACTTAATAGGCTCTAGCATAAAGTATGTTCTATGCAGTTTACCAATCAATTCCATGTATATTATGTTCAAAAAGTGAAGAATATATGATTCATGCTATACAAGTAATTAGACGACGGAGTACGTAATTGTCAAAATTTGCCTACACATCACCCATCATAAAAGAGACATAATTTATGTATGTGTCTGAGTTTTAAGGTTCAGGTCATATTCCAACTCTTATATTACACTTGTTGTGATTTAATGATATTATTATTATTACTAGTTCTGATAAACTAAAAACCTTGATTTTTTAATCTATTTTTCCCTTTTTCTTGTTAGCTTGGAAATTGCATTTGAAGAGAGTGAGATGAATGGATCAGATAGAGAAGTGAGCACTGATAACTCATTGGCCTTGGTGCCTGTTTGTTTACCAAATCCAAAGCAAACATTTGATATAGCTGTGGTTGATCCAACTGTAAGAGATGTTCTTGATTCTCTGAGGCATGCTAAAGAAAAACTTCAAAACATGTTGGAGAGACAACTCATGCTTTAGAGCCGGGTAGATACTAAGAACATAGCGTATATACAAAAGAAGAGAGCAAGAGGAAGCGAGCTGATCACCGACTCACTCTCCCTTATGGAAGATCCAAAGGAGTGAGTTTGATCCCATTTTACTCCAGCCCCCAGCCCCCTCTCCCCGACCCCCTAGGGTAAAAATAAAATAAAAGAAAAAGAACAGAAGAGAGCAAAAATCCATATCTCATTGGTTGTCTTTGCAGTGTATCATTAGAAGAGGTTAGAGGGAAATGTGGACATTAGTTTCTATTTGTTCCAACTGCTAGCTTGGACATAGTAATAAAGTAAGTCTCTCTTAACAATGATCTTCGATCAACTTTACTACAAACATTTAATATTTTGATTTAAGGTGCTAATTGCAAATGTTAATTAATAAATAATTTGTTTTATTAAATAATGGGCCTGCCTTTAAAAAATGGCTTTAGGGGAGCTATCTGTTTTTGTTTTGATTTGGGGAGCTACCTCCCTTTTAGACGTTTTTCTTACTAAAGGAATTCTCAATAAAACACAATGCTAGAAATAGTTATTTTCAAATAATTTTGAAAATATTTGAATAAAGTTGAAATGGATTGAACTTTTTTTTACATTGGATCATTTTATCTAATCTATTGTTTTATATAGTAAAATTGAGTTATGAATAGCTTATTTGTCATTCTCTTTAGAGGTTTCCTTGCCCCTTTATTCGTATAGATCAATTATTATAGTCCTAATATTTATTTGGAGTCTATATTAAGTGTGAGATACTTTGAAGTAGTACTAAGATATCCTTTTCCAATAAATAAACTTGCTATTTTTAGCATGTTCAGCCCAATGTGACACTTAGGCTGTCCAATTTTTCTTATTGGGTCCAAATTAATGGCGTATGAGCTCTCATTTATTTTAGGAAAAAATACAGAAAAGTTACTTGTGGTTGGGCCCGTTTTCAGACAGGGTCATGTGTTTCATTATTTATCAAAGTAGTTCATGTGTTTGAATTCCGTTATCACAAGAGGGTCACGCCGTTAAAAACGTCTGAAAAAGACCATTAAAAATTACTTCGATTTTCAAAAGTGCCCGAAAAATTAAAAGAAAAATACTAAAAGGTGCGCCTCGTCAAGATGACCTCCAAACAACCTCTGCCTTTGGATTTTCCAGATCTGTTTGAATTAGTTTTAAAAAATGATTTTGCTAATATCACTTTTCCAAAGGACTTTCCGGTGACAAGGGTGGCTGAAAACAAAAAAGAAAGATGGTCTAATGGTCGACTTATTGAGGCGCACCTTCCGGTATTTTTCTTTTAATTTTTTGGGCACTTTTGAAAATTGGAGTTACTTTTAACGGTCTTTTTCAGACGTTTTTAACGGCGTGACCCTCTTGTGATAACGTAATTCAAACACATGAACCACTTTGATAAAGAATGAAACACATGACCTTATCAGAAAACGGGTTCAGCCACAAGCACCTTTTCCGTACTTTTCTCTTTATTTTATGTTGGGCTGCTGTAACTAAGTATATGGTCCAATTAAGTATTTGGTAGTCCATCTTTATCGTACGGGTTCAATTTATATTTTTGATTAATCATTTATCAATTAAAGCCATAATCATTTAACACATGCTTAATAGTAGAGAGTTCAAGTACATGGAATTAGACTGTCAACGGGTCGGGTACGTGCCGGAACATAGTATCTCAGACCCGGACCCGTTATCCTGTATAGGGTTCCAGACCCGACCCATGTACCCGGCGGGTCTAGAACTAATGTTTCCGACCCATACCCATTGGGTCTCAGAAATCCAATTCTAATTTCTTAAATAAAAAACATGACCTCTTACTACCGAGTACTTTTCTGGCAACAATATGGCACATGAATTGTAATTACTTGTCTATAATTACTCAATCAAATGCAACAATTGTGAGTTGGTTTATAATTTGCAAGATACGTAATGTTAGAATAAAGAGTAAAATAAATGGCTTTGGAAACTGAACTGACTTTTTCTTGAATCCTCTGCGGTCTGCGGACTGTAGGATCTCTAGGGATCCTTCTTCGGATTCATTAAACTAAATCGTAATGTGGGCGACAACTAATGTAATATGTATATTAGATTAATGTATATATATAAATAAATATTAACGGGTCGGATCCTAAACGGGTCGGAACTACATATACCATACCCGACCCATTAAATAACGAGTCCGGATCCGGGTCCGGGTAACGGAATTAAATGTAGACCCATACCCGTTAAAAAAAGACGGATCCGGGTCGGGTTTGGATCTGGACCTGACTCATTAACAGGCCTACATGGAATGAATTTTAAAACCAAGTTTCAACTATATACACCAGGGTGTGTGTCACACATTGACTATCTATTGTTTTATACTAGTAGAACACCCGTGATTATCACCATTATGGTATTAAAGTAGTGAATTTATTATGGTGAATTTTTCACATGTTTATTCATTTTTAGTCAAATCAGGAATAAAGAATAAACGTGTAATTCTAAATGAATCATTTAGAATAAAAGAATTAACAGTTTAAAATTACAGTCCCTACAATAATGAATTTTGATATGTGATGCTATACATTAAATTCGATAGACACTGATTACACGCAATATAAATATAATTTGAAAACACATTAAACTTGTTGTTAAATGTTATGAAGCACTTCTTTATAGGCAGGGGCGGAGCCAGAGCACTGGGCGGACTGGACCGGCACAAAGAATATTTTTAGAAAAAAATTTAGACGAAATTTTTTATCTTAAAAATTAAGCCATTTTTAAAATTTGGGGTGGGCCATGGCCTAGGTTGGCCCACCCCTAGCTCCGCCCATGTTTATAGGCAACAATCTCGAACAAATACATTGACTATTATTTATACGAATTACATTTTTAAAAAGAGTTGCCTTTGTAAACTTGCAAAGCACGGAGGCATTATGGTATTAAAGTAGTAATTGGGATTATATATTCGCCACACGATTCACAACCGATAGATCTCACATATTTAAAAACATATGTTGATAAAGTAGGCTTGCTTTATTAGCAGGCTTGCTTGGATATGTGAGTATTCATTGAGCTTTGGGAAAAGGAAGTTCACAAAAGGAAGGAGTTGTTTGCGTAGACTACATAAAAATGGTCTTTTTTTAAGGTATTAAGTCACGTAACAATCTATTTGTGGATATTTTTTTGTTTTCAGGTTACCAGTGCTAAAGAACATGCCCCTGTTGAAAGGAAAATGTGTTCCGGCCAACTAGAAGAACTATGGAACAATCGCTATCTAGACTAGTTTCAAATTATTGAAGTTTATTGTTTTGTCTACTCCGTCTTTGATACATTATTTTAGCATACTTTCATTTATTTTAACTTGTGATTTGTTCATTTGAGTTGTGATTTTTTATGATTTCGGGGGTATGCCCCCATGAATAATGTACAATCACATTTCTGTGAGAATTTGATATATAAATAAAAGTGTTTGAAAATTTAGTTATTCATTATTATTAAATTATATATATATATATATATGTGTATATATATATATATATTGAAATTAATGTATCACATGTGTTTTAATTTCATGATACAAGCGTGTCATTAAATTTTGTGATGTATATTAGTATCACAAAAATTCTTGTTACGTATATATCACTAAAAAAATGATGCATTGGTATCACAAAAATCCTTGTTACGTATATATCACAATTCTCTATGATGTTTATATGTCATAATTTAGTGTTTTCTTAGTTGTTAAAAAACTCATATAATAAAATACCCAACGATATATCTCATTAGTTCAAATGATCAATATTTAATTAATTATATTGCAGTTTGACCAAACCATTACAAATATATTTTGTCAAGAACATTGATTCAAACCCAATTCTTAATGTTACCACAGTGTTCTCTATAATCATATGTTATGAATATTCTAGGTACAATTAACTAAAACCCAATCTCGTGAATTTGATTCATATTATATGCGGTGTGATTCGTTAACTCATAAAAAACAACACACTACCAATGTCATTTACATATACTCCACATTAATAAAAAATGTGCATAATTGAATAGGTCTAAGACATAAATAATAATAATTATTGTAATGATGATGATGATGATGATGATGATAATAATAATGATTTTAATAATGATAAGAATAATAAACCATATACACATAAATTCTTTAAAATCATGTTTCTAATTTCTCAAAGAATATCAATATATATATATATATATATATATATATATATATATATATATATATATATATATATATATATATATATATTCAACATAAAAACTGTAAATAATTTACAAACTCTATTGATATTTAATACCTTAATTCATATCAACCTGACACTGTCGGAGCATGCCCCGGGTGTTACACTAGTTAAGGACGATAGTTTTGGATGATAGTAGTTTCCTGACTTACTCCTGTTTATGAAAATAACGTACTATTAATATGTTCAAATTTCCCCGTGTGCATATACAAGTTGAGTAGCTACAAAAACAAGGAGAAATACAAGGGATGAAAATTAGAAGTTCTATCCAAAATATGGAGATACATATATTTGAGTGTAAGTAACTTTATCATCTATCATTTTTATCTTATGTTGTGTATCGATTTATTTTTTTCGAATTCATCTTTTATTTAAAAAAAAACATTTTTTCGATTCAATAGAATTTAAGACCACCTTTTAAACATGTACATTTTAATTAATATTATTAATCAAACATTATAAAAGAAAATTAACATTAACTTCAATCAAATATCTAAACCGGACATCTCCAATGGGAGGGTGAACTCTAGTGGGGTGGCATATGAGAGATAGACATACAATGATAATTTTAATTTTTTATAGATAAAAGGGTGTGCACGAAAAATGAAAAAGAGGAGATAGATAGACATACAATGATAATTTTAAATATATATATAAAATGTAGATTTAGGTCGATAACAAGGTACACAAATTAACCTCACACGAGATTTGGGAACGAAGAAAATATATGAAAAGTGAATTAAAATTGATACTAAGAAATGAAAACGAGAATAAATCAGAAAATACATGAGTCCAAAGTATAAAAATTGTGAGATAAAACATGGGGCTCATGTGCAATAGTGCAAGCAGGGGCGGATTGAGGTAGAGGGGGCACACCCTAAATTTAAATTTTAATTGTACTTTTGATGTAAAAGTTTATGCGTAAAAATTTATTTAAAAAAATTCTATGTACCCATCTATCTAATCTTTCCTTCTCACTACCCTAAGACCTAAGTGCAAGGGGGTAATTGTTACTTGTTAGTAGTTACTAACCACTTTGCATGGACTGTCTTATACAAATATAGTGATTAATAACCATTCATTTTTATTTTTTTTTCTTTGCTCTTTCAATCACTAACCTTCACTTGCTTAGTGACTAAAAACTAAACATTAGTATTTGATTTACGATTCATACAACATCAACCAATGCTTTTAGTAATATGTAGGGACGAGCTTGTTTCTGACTCAGCAATAAAAAGTGCAACAATATGTTGCAATTGATACTTCTAACCAATGCAAGATTCACACAAAGTAAAAACATAAGAAGTGGTAGACTTCCTATTATCTCTAACATTAGCATAGTAGGAATCCACACAGCCATTTAACACAGTACCATCAAGACACTTAACAAAGATCAAACCATATTTCACAGTAGCTTTTAGATACCGGAACTATCATTTTAGAGCATTCCAATGAGACAAACCGGGATTTGACATGTAACGACTTAAGCAACTAACATCATAAGCAATGTCAGGTCTAGTACTAGACATAAGATACATATATAACAGATCCCATTGCACTGGATATGGTACACATTTCATTCTCTCAATTTCAGAGTCAGTCTTGGGAGAAAGATCCTTGCTTAGCACAAAATGAGAAAGTGACAAAGGTTTAGGGTTAAAACCGCATGAATATTATTACGTAAGAGGGAGCATATATACAGTAGTTTACATGGGCCGAAAAATTAAGAGCCCTGTGTTGCCTAGGCTAAGTACAAAATGGGCCAAATAAATGTACAAGCTATACAAAATAATATTCCCAATACCCCCCCCCCCCCCCCCAAGTTGGAGCATGCTGGTTACAAATGCCCAACGTGTGAAGTAAGTAATGAAACTGTTGAAAGCCTAAAGCTTTGATGTAAATGTCCGCAAGTTGGTCCGAAGTAGAGACATGAACAGTACAAATGGTTCCATCTTGAACCGCATCACGAACGTAATGGCAATCTACTTCAATATGCTTCGTACGTTCATGAAAGACGGGATTCTGAGCAATATGTATAGCAGACTGGCTGCACAATAGAGAGGTATGGACTGGGACTAAGTGACACCAAGACTAAGGAGAAGCACTTTAAGCCATTTTAATTCAGAAGTAGAAGAAGCCATGGAGCGGTATTCTGCTTCAGCTAAGGATCTAGAGACGGTGTGCTGTTTCTTCGTTTTCCAAGAGACGGGAGAGGGACCAAGAAAGACCATCCATCCGGTGAGAGAGTGGCGAGTGAGCGGGCAACTTGCCCAATCAGAGTCGCACCACGCTCAGAGAGACAAATGAGCATGAGAACTAAGAAGAATGCCTGACCAGGAGTACCTTTGAGATATCGAACCACACGAATAGCAGCTGCCCAATGATCCTGACGTGGCGCATGCATGAATTGCGCTAGTATATACATGGCATAGGCGAGATCAGGGCATGTGAACGACAAATAAATAAGACACCCAACAAGTCTGCGATAAGCCGATAAGGTTCCAGATCTGTAATTAAGCAACTCTCTCAGCAAGAGCAAGGCCATGATTCTGAGGAAGTGGTGTGCTAACCGGCCTAGCCCCGAGAAGACCGGTGTCAGTAATAATATCCAGGGTGTATTTTCGTTGACACAGAAAAAGACCATCGTTGCTACGGGCAACCTCAACACCCAAAAAATATTTTAACAAACCCAGGTCCTTCATGTGAAAGCAAGCACTCAATTAATCTTTGAAAGACCTCAATGCAGACGAATCATTTCCAGCAATTATTAAATCAACAACATAAACTAGGATGGATAAATATACCTTGCCTCGACGAAACGTAAATAGAGAATAGTCCGAGTAGGACTGCCGAAAACCGTAACGTTTCAAAGAACTAACAAGCTTTGCAAACCAATACCGAGGAGCTTGACGCAAACCATACAAGGATTTATTAAGACGACACACCAAACTAGGAGAGGCAAGACTAAAACCAGGCGAAAGCTTCATATATACTTCTTCGTCAAGATCCCCATGGAGAAATGCATTGTGGACATCCATTTGGTGAATTTCCCAGTTTTTGACAGCGGCAACCGCAAGAAAAACCCGTAATGTAACCATTTTAGCTACAGGAGCAAATATTTCATTATAGTCCAAGCTTGCAACTTAGTGATTACCCAAAATAACAAGTCAGGCCTTGAGGCGCTCCACACTCCTGTCAGAATGGTACTTGATCTTGTGAAAAAGAAAGATGGTACAATAAGAATGTGTATTGACTACCGACAGTTGAACAATGTCAAAATCAAGAATATGTATCCTTTACTGAGGATTCATGACTTGTTTGAACAACTTCGGGGGGCCATGGTGTTCTCTAAGATTGATTTAAGGTCGGGCAATCACCAGTTGAAGATCAAGGAGAGTGACATACCTAAGAGTGCCTTTCGCACTAGATATGGTCACTACGCGTTTCATGTGATGCCATTTGGTTTAACCAATGCACCGACAACATTCATGGACTTGATGAACCATGTGTTTAGTGAGTACTTAGATTATTTTGTGATTGTATTCATTGATGACATCTTGATATACTCAAGAGATGAAGAAGAACATGAACATCACCTGAGGCTTGTGCTTGAAAGGCTAAGAGAGAAGCAACTCTTTGCCAAGTTCTCAAAATGTGAATTTTGGCTTAAGGAGATTGGCTTCCTCGGTCATGTCATATCCGGATCGGGCATTGCGGTGGTCAATGCAAAGATAGAAGCTATCATCGATTGGGAGCGACCCAAAAATGTGAAAGAGATACGTAGTTTCCTTGGCTTAGCGGGGTACTATCGTAAATTTGTGGAGAAATTCTCCGTGTTGGCGTCACCGCTTACGAAGCTCACGAAGAAAGGGGCTAAGTTCTTATGGGACGAAAAGTGTGAGAAAGGGTTTCTTGAGCTAAAGAAACGACTCAGCGAGGCACCAGTTCTTGCTCTACCAATACAAAGGATATGGTATGATATCTATAGTGATGCTAGCATCCAAGGTCTTGGATGTGTACTGATGCAAAAGGGGAAGGTAATTGTCTATGCATCTAGGCAATTGAGGAAACATGAGGTGAACTACCCTACCCATGACCTAGAATTGGGAGCGATAGTGTTTGCACTAAAAATTTGGAGGCCTATGAGGGGAGACATGTCACACCTACACCGACCATAAGAGTCTGAAGTATGTATTCACTCAGAACGAGTTGAA